AAACATTTGAATATTTAAGTATATATTCCAAACCTTAAGCCTCAAGCTTCAATAGTATCAAAGCAGACGGACGGACAGCAAGGCGGACATTGCTCAAAACCAATATACTCATATTACTTTCGTGAATTAGTATAAAACCCAACAATAATAATCAATAATATTATTATTAATTTATATTAATTTTATACATACGTTTATATTTAATAATTCACGACGTTCACATACATATATATTTTTATAATAAAATAAAACACATTTTATAAGTTAATATTAAAGTATATTTCCACATGCATTTTAAAGTTAATTACAAGAAGAAAAAACAAACAGAAATAATCAAATCAGGAGTATAATTTCCATATGTAATATTATCCAATATCCAAATTCAACGAAATTTGTAATTTCAAGCATTTGCTTGACCTACTCCTTGACAAATGCGTAAGAGGAAAGGTTTCATTTTTTCACTTTGCTTGTCAACTGCAGCTCGACGTTGTTTTATAAAGCTAGCAACGACCTTTTGTTCCACAAAACCCAACAACAGCAACAACAACAACAGCGGGAAGGAACAACAGTAAGAATATTGTCGCAGAAATGTATGCTTCACTTATTTAATAGAGAGCATAATAAATATTACACAAGCGCAGGTGCTGGCTGGCTGCTCCTTAAGGACGTTTGTCAGACAAAGCTGCATAAAATCTACCGCAGTTTCAGTGTCAACAGCAGCAGCAAATGGTAACGGGAGACTGGTAGCTGTAACGGTTAACTGCAACATGTTGCATGGCGTCAACAAATCGGCTACTCATTGTCGAATAATGCTACAAACCTTCGATCAACTCCCAGCAGAAGTTCATGTAAAGTGAATTCCTGTTGATGGTATTATGTGTTATTCTTCTAAGTGGATTGATATGAATTTGATAGCGAATATGCAACAAGCAAGCGGATTTAAAGATTCTCAGGAGTTGTGGATAAATAGAGATTGAAGTATGTGAAAATGGGTGTCTTAAGCTAAACACTTATGACAAATTTGATTTGTAGATACGTCGAGGAACTCAGGTGCAATAGGACTTGGAATTTCAGCTATCCTAGCGTAGAGTAACAGTAACTTTGCTAACTTAGAATATGTACTGACCCAGCACTAGAGTTAGTGTAAAAGTATTTTCAACAATATACCAAAAATAATTTTGATTGCACGGCAAATGGGAGATTGCATCTAACAGAATTTAGATCGTGAATGAGAATTCTTCAGTCGACCATCTGAGAAATTCTTAATAACAAATTTTCAACGGATTATTGCGGAATAAAAGCCACATAAAATACATATACATATGTATATATTATTTCCTTAATTACAAATTTGTTTTATATTATTTGAAATAAATTGTGAATTAATTTTTATATATTTAAAATAAATTTGGAATTAATTTTTATATATTTATATTAGATTTATTTTCTTGATAAAACACAATTTTGCTATGTAGGTAATATTTTATTTTTATTTTTTTTCAAAGAGCTTTTATAAGAAACTTTCTAAATAAAATACATGAATTATATTAAAAAAAAAAATAATAAATAAAAAATATATATATATATATATTTATATCTCTTAGAGTCACATCTTGTTGATACATATATTATAAAACTTTCATTTATGCTATTTTTAAATAATATTTTACATCAACTAAAGATTAACTTAATAATTTTAATGAATTTATGTAAAGTATAAAAAAGCATATAAATATACTTTATAACCAGCCGAAGGCTCCTGCTGCCAGTGCTTAACCTTAAGTTAAAGTTAATTTTATATTAATTGTAACTTCTTAATAATAATAATAATAATAATACTTTATACAATAAATATACGAAATCATTTAATTAATAATAGTCTAATAACTATATCTGAAAGGATACATCCTATTCGGCTAGTAGCTAGCGTACCCATTTTTTCCTTGTTTTTTATCACTAAAAGCCATTATATAACAGCAACGCACAATCGCTGGGAATGTAATCCTATAACCTTATACCCATTACAAACGCTGTGAGCAGCTCGTTGCTGTTGATGTTGATGCTGTTTTTGTTGCTGCTGTTGTTGTGGTTGTTGTTGTGGCTGTTGTTTTTGATGTTGCTGTTGTGTTTTAATTTCTTGTAGCATTTCTATTAAAGAGTCCAAAGGCCCAAGGAGCTTGCCACAACATGCAGTTCAATAATAGCGACACAGTCGCAGCTGCCAGTCGGTCAGGCGACAAAAGAAACGCGCCGCAAAGTGCGCGTTTTCTATTACGTCCCGCCCGACCAACCTCGCCCCACTGAGCCTTGCCCTTTTTGCTACCCCGCTTTCTTACGCTTCTTGCCATCCGTACCCATATCCATAACCATGTCGTTGTCCGTTGTCCGTTGTCCGTTGCTCAACAAGTCAGCGCTTTAAATGCTGCACGCTGTTCCGGTCAAATGCTTCAATGCCATAGGGCATAACCATAACAACGCCGCCAACATTCAGCGGCTCAGTTGTTTGGATCGTACCTCCGCCCACCCATCTACCTCATACACCTCCTACACAAAAAGAGCAAAGCGTTTGCGCTCAACCACAATGCAATGCATTGCGTATATCCTCTGGCTCTGGTCCTACACGTGTTTCATAATAATGCAGCTAAACAATTGTTAATAGATTGAAAGTATTCCAATTCTTGACAAATTAAGAGCTCAGAATTAGCTGATTTCAATAATGATCTATTATTATTATTATTTTTATTATGCATGAAAGTTTCATTAAATATTAAAAAGAATAACGGAAACGAAATGATTTAACTGGCCATTTAGTGAAATTATTATCGACTTAATTATTTAATAATTTGATATTTTCATAGTGTAAGAGCTAAAAATATATAATTTATGAGTGGTTGTCAATAAATTTTCTGAACAAATATATTTAATTCGCTTGATCTAAATTACATTGAATAATATCTAACACATAAAACGATTCAATAAATTATATTTTATAAATACATTAACTTAATAGGCCCAAGAAAAATATCTAGCCTATGAAACAATCGATAAATTTTATGATCGATAACAAAATTATGCAAATGGATTAGTTAACAGCAAAGAAAATATAATTAATATACTTAAAAAATAATAATCATAGAATCGATAATTATAAACCAACTGTATAGAAAGTTAACTTATCGTATAAAACGATAGCATTGAAGATGAAGTCGATTAATCAGCAAACTTTCATAACATGCATATATCTATATATATATTGAATCGATTAAATAACAACAATCTCCGAGTTTATAGTCCAACATAGCCGGATGGCAAATGCTGATAATGTCACGTGCACCAAGAGTTGATATCGATTTTAGATAAGCCAAAAGGCAAATGTGACGACATGTCTATCAATACGATTGCGAGAAACCCAATTCTAATAAGTTCAGATTGAGCAGATAAAATTGACAGACCTAAACAACATCAAACATAAATACTACGTGATGTCAAACCAGTTAACCAATTACTGTCAGCTCCATAGTAAATCTACAAAAAATATAACGAGTAAATGTGGATGTTTTGGCATAAGCATCTGATATGTCGCAGTACAAATCGATAACTCGCAGATATGCATTATTATAACTAGTTATATAAGTGGCAATAGACGATTGACGAATGAAACTTATATAATTCCAGTCTCAAAAGAATTGTGTATGATATGATACAAATATTAACAAATCACTAAAAGGATTTAAAGTTAATTTTAAATAGAATAAATAATAATATAGAATAAATATAGAAAAAAATATATAAATAAATTAATATATATAAATAATAATATAAAATAATAATAATATAGATATAGATAATAAAAATAATAAATAAATTAATTAGAATAGAATATGTAAATTATTAACAACATGTCTTTGAAACATTAATCAAAATATGGCATATTACTAATAAATACTAATTTTGTGCGATTTTTTGCATATTTATAAAACTGAGAAAAATAAGCAAATATTGTTATTTTCTGCTTTAATCGAATATGCAAGTTTTTTTAGTGAAGTACTTAATTTTTCATTAATATAAATAATGTTTAGCTATATAAAAAAAAAGATTCTTAATTACATTATAACATACATGTATAGTATATGTATTTAGTATATAGTATATGCAGTATATAAAGTGTTGTACATTTATTTAAGGACTAGATTGTTTTATTTACTATACTATTAATGAGATGTTTTGGATTTAATATTCCACAACTTTTTATGCGTACTCTGAACCCTTAGCTTAGGTTCCTGTTTTCACTACACAAAACTGTGCATTTATTTTGTTTGTAGAGAAGCAGCATTCAACTTCTATTAGAAGCTCTAAATATTTAGTTAAAAATGAAACATAAGCCTTTAATAGAGTTTACTCTAATATGAATTATTAATCACTGACAACATTTCCTTCCCTTGCAGTACTTTATTGACACAATGGACGCCACTCAACTCACCGAGCTGATGGGTAGTCACGATTTCATGCAGTTGCAGCAGCAATTGCAGCACAACTACAACACCGATGGCCACAATGGTCTCTCGCCGGAGTCTGTGGAGCGCAGCTCCAGACCTGTACGACGCGCCACGCGACGCACCTCACAGGTAAGCAAAAAAAAAGAGCAAAACAAAAGAGAAAAAAAAGAGAAAAATACATAAAATCCAATACAAGGGCTAAATGGATTGCAAATTGTTGCTATTGCGACTGTTCCACAGCTAAGCAATAACACCTACGATCTGGAGATGACCGATTCCAGTTCGCAGAGCGACGATACGAGCGGCGGCGGTGGCAGCAGCAACGGCGGCGGCAGCAGCACCAACAACAACAGCAGCAATCAGCTCGGCCCTGCGCTGAGCGGACAGCGTCCCTCGAGTCGCGGACGGCAGCAGAATGGCGGCAATCTAACAGCCAACGGCAACAGCAACAACAACAACAACGGCAGCAGCAACAACAACAACAACAATCGTCGCCGCAAAGGCGCTCTCAATGCGAAGGAGCGAAATCTACGCCGACTCGAGTCGAACGAACGGGAACGCATGCGCATGCACAGCCTGAACGATGCATTTCAATCGCTGCGCGAGGTCATTCCGCACGTGGAGATGGAGCGACGTCTGTCCAAGATCGAGACCCTGACGCTGGCCAAGAACTACATTATCAATCTGACGCACATTATACTCTCGAAGCGCAATGAGGAGGCCGCTGCCATGGAGCTGAATGCCGGCGCTGTTGGCGGCGTCTTGCTGACGAATCTGACAGCCGACAGCAATGTGGTTGCTGCTGCCAATGGCGCCAGCAATGGCTTGTGCTTTGACGATGCTCTGACTACTGGAGGAGGCGGCAGCGCTGGCGGCGGTGCCTACGACTGTGCGCTGCTCGCTGCCAGCGATGGCAGTCTGCTGAGTGCAGCAACGAGCGCCAATGCCATGCAAGCGCTGCCCATGCACATGCACGCCGAGCAGCAGCAGCAGCAGCAGCAACAGCAACAGCAGCAGCAGCAACAACAACAGCATATGCCACACCATCATCATGCCCAGCAGCCGCAAATGTTGCACTCACATGCGCATCTAGGCAACAACATGTTGCTGCCACAACAGCAGCAACAGCAGCAGCAACAGCAGCAGCAGCAGCAGCAACAGCAACAGCCACCGCAGCAACCAACGCTCATACTCAATGGTGGCACCACTTTAAATGTGGGTGGCGTTGCTGTTGCTGTCGCTGTGGGTGGCTCCGGCAATGTGGGCGTGTCTGGAGGCGTGGGCGTGTTTCCCGATGTCAATGATAATTTCGATGAGCCCTTTCGGGAGTTTCTATAAACAACCGCGAGTGGAGCTAATTCTGTAGGTCTGTGGTAAAATGGATATAAGGACACAAAATAGAATTTATAGCATACATAATCTCCAATATTAAACAATGGGAATATATAAATAATTGATTGCAAATAACAATGAGAAATACTAAGTAATTATGTAGAGAAACAGTTAAGCAACAACCCTGAGTAAATTGTATACCAAAATAGCTTTGCTTCAGAGGAAGCAACAGCTATAAGTCAAGCCAAAGAGCGTGTTATTGTGTCTTAACTAGCTGTCAAAGTTAGCAGGCACTCGAACATCCACTTAATTTCACATTGATTTTCAAGCAGTTCAAAGAAGAACTTTAACTTAATAAACTTTAACAAACTTGACTTTCATTATTTGCTTTATTTATTCAATTTAGAATGGATTTATTTTAAATATTCAGCACTTTAACAAGAGAGTAAATTATTTTTTTTTTATTTAAAAACAGAACAGGCTATCGAATTTTACCTAAATATTAAACATTACTTGTTTTCAATTTAAAATAAGAATAATAAAAATAATAAAATTATGTGCTTTTTATGTTCAGAATTTGTAGTATTTCGATTTTCATTTTATTTTATTTTACATATATTATTTTATTATATATCATAGCCTATCTAAAAATTTAGGTTTTTTTGAGCGGCTGCTAATGCTAAAATTTAAAGCTGTTTTTATCCATTTTTGTCTATTTTCAAACAATCAAGTCGAAGTTATTTGATAATTAACTATAATCTGAATTTTTTTTATTTACTACTTTTTTATTTATTTATTTTATATTATTTTTTTAATTAACTAAATTTTATTTGTTTATTTATTTTTTCTTTTTGAATGCCCAAAATGAAGAGTTAAACTCTTCATTTAAATGATTTTATTTTAAAGTAACTGACAAAATTAACGTAGAGTTTCTTCGTTTACTCCTGAGGATTTTTTGAGCAAAATACAAAAAATATTCCATAAATTAAGAAAGTTTTTTAAGAAACCTCAATGAATAGTTTCCGGTTTTATTAAGTTGCAAAAAGAAACATTGTAAAATTAAAATATATATAAATATAATAAAATAAAATAATAATAATACAAATAATAATAGTAATGCCAATAACAAAGCCGACCGTTGTGGTGCAAATTTTAAATACTTATGCAATTATTCAAAGTTGTTAATATACATACATATATACACCCACATATATATTATACCTATATATGTATATGTAATACTTTAAGCATAACTGTAATAAATATTATTTACGCAAAAGAAACGGACGAATGCAACACGAAAACATGAATGAAGCAAAAACCAAAAGTTGATTAGCATAGCAAA